TATATATATATATATATATATATATATATATATATATATATATCTGACATCATACCACTGAAATGTCTTATTACGATACTATTTGTTTGCCTACATACGCATCAATACCAATATAGTTCCAATAAGCAAATATCCTTCTCTATATCTGGCTGATGTATCGGCCGGTCTCTTTATGAAAAAGCCAATACACAGATCCAACAAGGGACCATAGGCTGAAAGCATCACATACTGCAGGGGACAATTCAATTTAGACTGTCTCATTCTACAGAGACAAAGAAAAATCCATCAAAACAAATTGAAATGCATTAGAATTACATCGAACTTCTACATCTGGCAGCTTTCAATGACAAGTTAAAACACTTCTACCACAACTATCTCGCTAAAGTCTTCAATAGAGAGGATGGTAACAGCGTGGAGTAAATCACGGTCACCCAGGAATCAACAACTAAACACAGTGTCTACATAACAAGCAAACTAGTTTGACCGTTCTTGACTTAGCACTGATCATTGGTACGTACAGCACATAAGAGGGATAGATGATGTTAGAGATATGAATCTCCAGCAGACTCTAAAAAGAATTTCCACGGCTTTAACTCTGCAATCTCTCCATCTCCCCTCCTGCCTGCTCCCATTTGTTCTTTGTGTAATTTGCAGGGAATGCTGCAATTAGGCCAAATGAATACCTTGTTTATGAGGCTCTCCAGTAGTGATTAAGCGTGGTGATTAGTACATGTGTAGGTGGTGATTATAAATTAAGAGTGGGGCCCTTTGCATGAAAGAAGATGGAAGGAGAAGATAAATCCTCCCATGGAGCAGGGCTCACAGTAACTCAGCCAGCAGCATCTTCATCATCAGAAGCCCTTAGCTGATTTGAACATCAAGTCGTCTGAGTGCTCTCTACCGACACGTAAAACAGGCAGCGTCTGTTTACAGCTTTCTCTCACTTCACTTCTTTTTAACCCAAGAAAAAAAACAACCTGCAAAAATAAGAATTATTGTTATCCTCACATGGCCCGACTCTTTTTTAGACCTCCTGCACTACAGTGAGCTTTGGTTGCCTGGAACCAACAGTTGAACGAACCCATTATCCCCGGCCCTGCCGACCAGGCTGCTTGGAAGTCTCTCAAATGTCATTCGGGCATCTGCTGAGGAAAATGTCAAATTGAGAGGGGAGCTGGCCAGCTTGTGTGCTGCCAGTGTGAGACATTTAAAACCAAGATTTTGTGTTCACCGTCAATTCTCAAAAAGTGGCCTCGATTTACCTCAACTGCAGGGAGTGGGCCTTTGTTTGAAACACACTTATATTAGAGAATATATTGAGTTTACTGTGAATCTCCCTGTTTTCTGATCAGCTTTGCTAAGCACTATTTTCATTAGTAGAGTCATGTAATACTCACAACTCTGCTGCTGTGCCTCTAACCTACCTCTGAGGTAGCGTTAGGGGGTTAGAGGGTAAAGGGTTAATGGATCAAACGTAACCCCAACCAGAGAGCTTGGTGGGGGAACTGTTGCCTCTCTAACCCTAATCCTGCCAGCAAATGAATGGATTATGCCCTTTGGGTTTCCATGTTAAACGTCGAAGCGTTGACCTGCATTAGAACGTTTAAAGGTTAAATGTGTTCAAACCAGACAACCGAGAGAATCAGTAGAGTATAGCATGACTGCTGTGGAAATGTACACTATGCTGAGTTTACTGCTTGAGCTGTTAAAGTAGAGGTAATTCCATCTATCCTCAATGTCCCCTACACTGCCTCTATCAGTGACTGGCTGTATTTGGTCACGCTGACCTTCAGACCCAGCCATTATCTCAACACTTGCTTTCATTAGGAAATGAAGTGTGTGCTCTGAAACATGAATGTTATTTGAAGTCACCTCTGTAATTTAAAATGCATGCCACTAGTTTTGAGCTTTAGTCTGCGCTGTGTAATTAGTTTAAAGAGCATGCCCGCTCCCCCACACCATTTATTGCTTTCTCTTCCAGCTGTGGCAAGGGGCACAACGGTGTGCAGCTGGAAAGTCGGCTTTACTGTATATGATGCACCTCAGTAGGCTTGGCAGAAAAGCAACACAGCCAAGGAGCCAAGGAGGGCGCAGTGTATCATTCTCCTCCTCCGCAAAAGAAAACAGTGAGGCAAAGAGTGGAAAACCCACGGTGACAGGTTATTAATCTCCGCTGTGCTCCGAGTGGGTTGCTAATCGTGCAGCCAAGCAGGATGAGAGGGGGAGGGGCTCTAAAACGGTGAATCCGAGGAGTAGCAGTAGGGGTCAGCCCGGGACGCCGACCCCGGACAGATTCACCCCCGTTAAATACACGCCTGGTAATTACGGTGGCAGGACAGCCGGCTGGTGTCAATAACTTCCTGTTTGTCATTCAGTTCCACATTAAACGAGGCCCAGTGGAACAGTGCGGGCGGCGGAAACAACCTTGTAGAGGCAGATGCACATAAAACAAGAGCGCTGCCATTAAGTTGTCATAGTCTCTAACTGATATGCATCTGATGGTCGCTGCAGGCCTCTGTGGGCTCAGACAAAACTATTCGGCTGGCTCTCCATCAAACAAACAGGTAAATTGACTGTTACTGCCCATCTCTTACTGTGTAGTGCAGCGACAGAGTCAGAAGTCAGAGGGAGAAGGGGGGCGTCCACTCAGGGCACTTCGATCAAACTTTGAGATGCCCTGCAGATCTAGAGCCAGGTTTTATGGCCGAGTAAGGAGAGGGTGGTCTCGGGGCACCGTGTCCCAGTCCTGTCAGCGTGAAGTACACTTAAAACTGAAGAAGTCCAACTGCTTCAAGTGCTCTTCTTTCTTTTTCTTTCTTTGTGCGCCTCTCACTCTCTCGGGCCCGTGGTGCTGCCTGGGTGACTGTGCAGCGAGTTCGTCCTGGACATTCATCACTGCCACCCGGGCTGGAGGGATAATATATTCCTCCAGTGGCTGCGCGGCGGTGCACACATTACTCATCTTTATATGGGTGGGGGGAGGAAGGGCATGGTATTGAGCTTGTACCAGGGGGTCTGTCTGAATGTTTCCATCGCTTTCAGCGTATTCTACCGTTAGCTGGATGAATACAAATGGCAGCTAAAGGGAGGCCATGTAGAGTGTGCTCCCCGTCGCTGCCTCTGCCTCCCCCGCTATCGCTGCCGTCACCTCTGTCTGTCCCAGAATGCACCCCACAGCACGGACAGCAACCTACTTCCTGTTCAATGCAGTTCTACTGACATGCAAAAACAACAGCCAGCCTACTCTCTCCACCGTCACAGAAAGTCATTATTCGGCCCAAAGTCAAACACAAACATAGTATATGTTGTATAAAAATGTGTATTTGTGCTGAATATGGCCATACCTTTCAAGCATTATAAATATATAATGTAGTGCGACATTAACTAAATCAGGTGAATCAAAATGTAGAACTTGGACCATATCATTACCAATAACATGCGAGAGCAAATAGCATGTCTATGTATATACTGTATATATATATATAAAATGCATAAATGTGACATCATTTAAATATTGGTTTCGAGACAATTGAGGATACATTAGATTCACCCTCAATTAAAGGTCCCATTTTGTAGAAGTGAGGCTTTTTGATTCTAAGGCATGTCTCGGTACGACATGAATAAACCGTGCCTTCAAACAAACCGTCTGATTTTCTGATGTCACAAATATACAGTCACTGGTACAAGTGCTGTTGAACTCTGTGGAGTTGACACACACAGTGAGCCCTGGCTGCAGTGACGCTGAAAGTGATGGTAAAACGCTCCAATCAGAGCAGAAGGGGCTTTTTGGGAGGGGGGGCTTAAAGAGACAGGCGCTCAAACAAAGGGGGTATCTGACAGAGGATGGCTACAGGTATATTCAGACATACAGAATTTGTGTTTTTTGAAGATGTAAACATGTTCTAGTAGAAACCCAAAATACAACTCTGATCCTGAAAATGAGCGTGACATGTCCCCTTTAAGACAATCCCCTGACAAAAGCTCATCTAACAGTGAAGAGCGAACTTCCAGAACGAGTGATGTGGAAGAGTACGGCACACAAGGCTCGAGTGTGGTTGTCTGCAGTGCTGCGAGGTTTCTCTGCAGCAGCCGCTGAGGTATAGCTGGAACCACAGGGGATCCACAGGAGTAATTCATTGCCACTGCAGATGTTCAAACAGTCAGAGTACATCGATTCTGTGTACTCTCCCGAAAACACAGTTAAGCCAAGTAGTGCCTGAAGACGCTGTTTATCCAGACCTTTCACCATAAAGACATCGTTTCTCCAAGTGTTTGTCTTCTTCCCCTGTAGTTCCAGCAGAAACTAGGATCATGAAAAGTTGATGCTTTGCTTATATCTTGCACTCTAAACCTGAGCTAGTAATGTCTGGGTGAGAACACTTCTGTTTACATAATCAAATGCATTGGGTTTCCTCTTGCAATTACAAGGAGGATGTTGTCGTTTTTCCAATCCAGCTGTGGGCAGATGGCGCGTTTTAATCTATTTTAACAACACATTGCCATCTCCTAACGATCTGGCCCTTCTGATTTGAGGAGCACTACATCTGTTCGGCGTAAACCCAATACATGATGGTGTTTCCTAACCGGTGTGATGAAAGCCCGGAGGAACTTCAAGCTTTTAGAAGACTAACTAAATTACAGTTTCTTAAAGAAACCAATCACTTTATGAAATTAATTTGGGGAACTCTCTCCTGTGAGGAGAGAAATGTGGCTTCCATAGAGAAATCTCTGAGGGTCATTTTTAAACATTAGTGTATCACTTCATTATATTTATTTGGCAGACACCTTAACCAAATTGACATAGGTTTTTTGTTTTACCATACACATACACTGGGAACATTGTGGGGTTCATGTTCTTTCGTTAAAGACAGTCTGGCAGCAAACCTCGAGGATTTAAGGAGCACTCCACCTAATTACTAATCAGACTTTACCAGGCTAAATGAAAGAGGCCAGTGAGTTGCATTATGGGAACTCTAGGATCCTCTGCTTTTGGAGTTTGATCCACACATGGGACTAAAAGTCAGGATATCTTGGCCTGGAGTCCACCTTTAATGGCCAACCAGTTCTGATCTATCATCCTCAGTTTAAGTAGAAGACCACAGGACAACGACTGTCAACAAATGATGTCTTGTCAGATGCTAGCATGTAGCTGAGAGAAATTAGGCGTTTCCCATCAATCCTGTTGCATGATCTCAATGGTCCCACTTCCCCGACACATCCACATGAAGACACTTTTCCCTCATTCCACTTTTGCCATGGCTGGAAGCTCTGCTTAACTTTGGTTGAATGTTAAAACGTCCTGTTTAGTAATTAATATGATAAAACAAAGCATTACAGCTGCACTTATCAATGATTTTATATTAACAATGTGTGTGACGTGAACAGTGTCACCCATAGGTGACTAAGCTACAGAGAATCATCACCAGTTCCCCTCAGCTCTGCTGTGCTTTTCAGCCTCTTTTAGCTCATTGTTTTGGTTTTCACTTCAGTGTTTCAGTTCACTCTCACCGCTCTCATCATCCTTTTAGAGCAAGAAAGCTCTGAGGAACCCGCTGTACACCTGCACAGTTAGAGAATAGCTGGTGAATCATCCAGTGGCCGTAGTAATTATGACGGGAGCAAAGGAGGAAGTCAGGTGACGTAGTATAAAGAACGACAACGTAGGGAGGAGGTCCGGTGGATTGATGGCTCAAACAAACAGGACTGTTTCACAACGTGCGCCTGTGGTTGCTTCTCTCCATAGGTTGCTTTTGGAGTCATTGGCAAATGACTTATTCTGTTGCTTTGGTTTGCTTTATTCTTACTGAGTCTCACTGTTGCACTGGCTGACATGTTCCTTCTTTACACACAACAAGCTATAGTTTACTTTGACTCAGTTCCACATGCACCGTCCTGCTGCCACAAATAATCTCTACAGTCAATCCCAAAGACAGGTGATTTGGAGAAGACTTTGTTTGAGTCGCAAAAGAAAAATTGCTGAATTTCTTCCAAAGTCTTTCATTTAAAGTCTCTATCTGCAGTACACTTGAGCCACATGAGAGAGCCTGGATGTGGGTATTGTTCTGATAATTGTAGCCTACTTTTAACACTGAATCTGATATGAAAGGCTGGAGTACATTCTGTTTGTTTTACTGATAAGAGGAAAACAATGAAAGCCTGTTAACTACATCTAAACGTATTCATTTGATCTCATGTATTAATCATTTCAATTTTGTTTTCAAGGACACTTGCAGAAAACAAAGTTGTGATTTTTCAAGCATACATCTCTTCTAAATAGCTGGTTTACAACATACACTTCCTTCTTTGGTTGCTGTTATATTCAGCTTAAACTATAAATATATTATATGAATTATATTCAATAAACGGAAGCTGTTCATTTATGAATGACAGCTGTAATTGTTAAACCACTTTCCATGTAAATCTTCAAACAACTACTCTTCCATCACTCTATCAAACAGGTAAGAAGCTCGTGTAGGTTGTGTCACCATGAAGGAAATATGTTGTGCATATGGAATAAAATACATGAGGCACTTTTGGTTTAAATCTACATACAGTAGAGTTCCATCTAAACCGATTAGGACAAACGCTGACATAGTCCTTGAAATAAACTCTCTAGCACGGTTATATTTTCCATAAATGTTATATTTCTGTTTCTATTTTATGGTGTAAATGTAGTTTAACACTTCAGTCACTGTCAGTTATGTGTTCTGGTGGAGAACACTTAACATATTTCATTTTATTTCAAATATGCAAAATGTATATTGGTGGATAGACAGGAATAGTCTGACTCTGCATTAATAAACAGAGCTACATAAACAATCACAGGAAAATATATATACTACAACTGTGGAATAATCCAATAATGATGTCACAAGAAAGACTTTGTAATTAAAAGTGACATTGGGAAATAAACATTCATTGGGAAAAGGGAAATTTTTTAATAAAAACTGCTGGAATTACAATAAAAATGACTTGCAATGAGGTCTTATTGTAAACAAGAAATGGGGTTCTTAATTTCATATTAATGAGCTGGGATATAGTTGGATTATCTTTCAATTTCATGGTAATGTTACATGTAACACAAGTAGAACATAAATCTGCAGAGGTCATACTGTAAACATGTCTATCGTGAGGAGAACTAGTGAATTCATTTAGCTTTTATTTGGTCACAGACGGTTTATTTTTGTATGATTGGTCTAAAAATAGCTAACCAGAAATAAAATCCCCTGTATGAGGTTGATGACATTTACAAATCAATGAAGAATAGATTCAAACCCTCGGTTTCATAGACCGTCCCCTGGTCAACACTCGGCTCACATTGCTGCCTGGCTAATGCTAAGTCATGTAGAAGAATGCACGGTGAGGATTATGTCAAATATCACTCTCCGGTAGAACTGAACAACTGCCCATGTGATTCAGAAATGAAACTGCTTTTTCTGGCACTTGCATGTCTCTCCCCCGCAAGACAAATGGTGCCCTTTAACTGAAATGTCTCCTTTCCACCTCCAGTCATCTGCCAGTCCCCGCAGATTACCCGACAGTGCCCAGAAAATACTGCACTATCCGGTTATTATCATGCAGAGGAGCGAGGTGTTAATCGAAGAAAGAAAAAAAGCCTTGCAGAGTTTCATTTTCTTTTCGAGCCACCGATGAACAAATTTCCACAGTCACAACAACATGGGTTAGTGCTCATGCTTCACCAAGCAATGGAAGAAGGAAGAAAAAGAAATGTCGCGAAGGGAAGAGAAGGGACATGATCGTTTTAAAATTAAAATTCATCAGAAGAGACAAAATAACATGCAGAGCTGAATTGAGATCACATTTGTATCGGCAACGACGGGTGAGTAAAGCATCACTGAGACCTCCTTCCTGTTTAGAGGTGCCCTCTCTCCACATGACCCTCTGGTTTACATGACTCCAGAGAGGACAGAGGTTGATTCAAAAAGAAAAAAAGCTGAGTGCACTCAAAAGCACTTCAAGGAGAGTAGGAAAGAAAGAAGGGGAGAAAAAGGGGGGCGAAAAGAAACTGACAAAAAAAAGAGGTCTGCAGGTTTGCTGTCATGCACAAGTGTCAGGCTTTTATTTTGTTGGTCAAAAAGGGGGGAAAAGATAGGAAAAATACCTTCATCACCGCCACCATCATTACTGTTGAAATCAGCGCCTTGCGTGTTTGAGTTGGCCCCTATAGTGTTGAGGAGAGAAGTAGAATAAGGGGAAACATTTCAAAGGGAAAAAAAGAGAAAAAAGAAAAAACTTGTTTTTAAGCCAAAAAAGAAAAAAGAAAAATCATTTAAAAAATGTATGAAAAAGGTCGGGGTGCTGTGTGAGGAAATAACAAGTGGGAACAAATTCATAGTGAGCTGAACCATCTCACGTGTGACAGAGCGTCTTTGACTAACAAGCAGCACAACGGCAGCCTGGCAGCACCAGAACAGCACATAGTGACCAAGTTCAGTTCCACACCGCTGTAACAGACTCTCTCATTAACGGGTGAATTCACAAAGAACGGATTAGATAAAGTGAAGATCAGTCACATCTGATGCCATTCATTATCATTGTCAAACTTGTCCTCCACTTTTGGATAACTATAACATGTCGTTCCAAATATGTATATGAAATGTATATTTTACATATATGTAACATAACAAAAGATGTCTTATTTGTTCTATTATCCTCTGTTTCTTTCAAATAGCAGTTCCCTTCTCATGCAACTACTAGTATTAGTAAAGTATTGGTAGGCTACTACGTACTATAGTAGGTGTTTGAATGGTCGCTTCATCCAAATTCAAAAAAGAATATATTGTTATTTGGCTTAAAATAATTATTCTTCATTTTTGGACGTTTGCTTATTTACTTTCTTGCCAAGAGTGAGATGAGAAGATGGATTGTGCCGCCATCACCAGTCTACGGTAATATTTGACGTTAGTTCGCTTAGCTTAGCCTGCCTCTGTCCAAAGATATCTGCAAACAACTTTTTAAACGTATTAAAAAAGGAGAAAAGTGCGAGAAACATAAAAATCACTGTTTCCAAATGTCTCGATGCAGTTAGTTGGACAGCTGACGGATGCCGGTTGTTACAGTCAAATAACACGCTTTGCGAGTTTTTCAGGAGCTCAGCCGTCAGAAAAATAGTGACAGTCAGCGATGGGAATAATTGACACAGTAAACAGAGAGCGCAGGAACATCTCAGCCCTCAGCGCAGTCTGACAGGACTGACTGAGCACACCAACAAGAGTAACATCAAACATCTCAGCACCGCTCGCCGAACAGCTTAACGGACAGGTTTTGACTTGTGAAAGACGGATATTCTCCATTGTGGTACCGCCTGTTCCCAACATCATATATATGTGTGTGTGTGATCTGGCTCTCTCATCCGAGGGCCTGTCAGCGGAGTCAGACCTCAAGTCAACAGCATTAAAAAGTCTCCTTTTACAACTTCAACTTTAAAGAAAATTAATTTAACATATAAGCAAATTGTATTGATTATTTATTTTAAGTGAAATATTTATCTGTAACTGAAAGCACCTGTTTTTCAACCGAAATATAATCCCTATGAATATTAAAAGTGTATTCTGTGAATTAGTAACAGGGACACTGGATCTTGAAAGAGATATTCCGATAGACTAGTTAACATTTGTACAATACATTTCTTTAATGCTTTGCGTGTCATAAACTAAATCCCATTCACTGCCACTGTGCTAATGTGGAAGCAGACATTTTACAGAGACAAATAAAAAACAATTTGTTTTTGCATGGAGAGATAGCAGTAAAGGTGTATGTTTTATTTGTATTTAAGTGAACTGTAATCACAGCTCATTGCAACATCTCCAACATGGAGCAAACTACCTGTTTATGTGCTGGTATATAATATATGTGTTCATACATAAGGTGATGTGAGTTACTGCAGTGATGGACATGCAGGTCCTGTAATTGGAGATCTCCCAGCCAGCTGGTGGCTCGCCAAACACAGAAGAACAGCAACAAACATGCTGAGCTAACAACGAAATCTGAGACTCAATACAGTCAAAAACATCTGTTTAACTGTTGCTCCATTTGACTGGCAGGTCTCCATCCTGTCAGGTAGCACTGACCTGTTGGACGAGATTGGGCAGCAGGCAGCGGCATTATTTTAAATGGCAGTGACATAAAACCCTTTTGTCCTTTCAGACAAACAGCTAGAACTGTTGAAGATGGTTCAAAACCTTTTCATGTTCCGTTGTGGCTATAAATGTAGCCGTTAGCTCCGTCCGTTCACTTCAGTCTGGATCCATCCAGCAGCTGCTGTCACATCTGTAGTTAGAGGATCCACCGCCTCAGATACAGCAGTGTCCATGTTTACATGGAGCACACAGGAGCACACTAGACAAACTAAAGTTCAGAAAGAAGAATGGAAGCTCTTCTGTTGAGGTGCCCCTTCGTGATGACTGAGTGCACTTCAAGTTCCCTCTATATGTGTCCGGGGCTTTTATTGTGAAGGACTATGTTCTAATTCTATTGAGTTGTTCTATTGCTGTTCTGTCCTTCCTGGATGAGGGATCCCTCCTCAGCTGCTCTCCCGAAGGTTTCTTCCTTTTTTTCCCCCGTTAAAGGTTTGCTATTTGATTACCTTCATGAGGGCCCAATGTAACCCCCGGCTACAGTAAAGGAACAGAGTTTAGCATTTAGGGGATCTATCGGCATAAATAGAATATGATATTAATAAGAATGTTTTCTTTTCTGTGTAATCATTGTTGTGTTTTAGTTACCCTAGAATGAGCCATTTATATCCACACACCTTCACACAGCCAGCCGCCTATTTCTACAGTAGCCCAGAATGGACAAACCAAACGCTGACTCTAGGACCATCCCACCAGGACATTTCCCGAACTTCCCGATGGCCCTCTAATCTTCTCCTCTCACCCTCTGACAGAAAGGGTTTCCCAAAATGTTGAATCATTCCTTTAAATGTACAATCTGATGAACACCCACAAAGGTTTCTCACAACTCAGTGTTAATGTCATCAAACTCAAGTCTGTGAGTGTGAGTCATGAAACAGTGAACTCGGAATGAATATAAAGATTTTGTAAAAACTACTAGGAGCTTTAACAAAACCAGTGTACCTTTAAAACATGAGCTATCCTGCACATCTAACCAGAAACATGTGACTTTGAGATGAAGGAACCGGAAAGGTTTTGGGACTCATTCCTGCACCTCTCTGCTGCACGTTCCCTGTAGTGAAGTGAAGCATGCTATAAAAGGGTTTTTGCTCTAAGAAAATTAAAATAAAATGAAGGTGGTCATTATCCATGGCGCCCAATAGTCCTTGAGCTTTAACACTGTTCAGAGTGTACCATCTCACTGTGCCACAACCTCCATGGTGTGCTGCAACATTCACTGATCAACAACTGGTGGAGAATAGGTCTCAACAGGCACATTATGTGGCAGCATCGCTGGGATGGTGGAGTGTTTGCACAATACTGCCAGGGCAAGCTGCACAAACACGGGCTCGTGCCATGTCAGTGTACTAGGCCGAGCGTGAACATTCACATCTGCTCAGGCAGACACACACACACACACACACACACACACACAGATATATGCAAAACATAATAATACAATACATCAGGATACATACAGTACATTTAGATATATATGCACCTTATGAAATCCATATTTCACATTGGTTTTAGTATTTAGTAGCATGGCGCTTTCTTTACCCAGAGACGTAAAATGCATGTTATTGTAGTAAGTAGGTATTGGTGTATATGTTGTCCGATTTGCCCAAACACAGAATATAATGGGGAAGCTAATGTTACTGGAGCAAAGTACAGTTGATGTCAAGAAATGTGACCTCATGAATGTTTAAAAACATAAAACATACCAACATAACCAACCCAGTGCAAACAGGAACAGAAGCCTTTGCATTGGTGGGAAACGCTCCAACAGGCCTCATCTCATCAGTGTGCATCACGGTGAAGATCAATAAACGGTTGCTCATTCTCTCTCTTTTGTGTTGAGTGTCAACAGGCCATTTCTTTACCTTGTATTGATTTATATTTATTTACCCGCTGTAGTGTACTGGCTCTATGCACTGATGCAATGTTTTATTCTTAAACTGTAAAATATACTGCATCCATTACATATCTATGCCCCAAGTGTTTGATATCAAAAGTATGTATATACTGTATACATATATATATGCATATATATATATGCTGTGTGTGTATATATATATATATATATATATGCATTGACCCAAAGAAATCCTAGTTGCTGACTAGACCTTAATCGAGCCCCGATGCTGACTGGCATGACTTTTTCACCAGAGCAAAAAAGAACAATAGTTGCACTTGTCTACAAAGAAATACACCATGTGACATGTGAATTTTATTCTTAGAATAAAATATACAAAGTTCGAAATCATCTTTTTGTCAAATGTTTTCATTAAATATGCAGATTAATCTGTATTCCCTATGAATGTAGGAAAGTGCAGTAAGTAAAGAGCGGAGTGTGATTTCTACTGACAGCATTCAGTCTTATAGAAGAGAAGCTGCATGTGTGGATAGTATATGTAGAATAAACAGTTGTCGAGGTACAGGTAAGCTTATTAAAATGCCAAGAAGTATAACAATAATTGGTAGACTGATGCAACAGTCCAGAATAAAGTTTATAAAAACTAAATTGCATAAAATTGGCACCTTTTAATGTATAAAAAGTACTTATTGCATTCATGTTTTTTGAGTTTTGAGAACATAAACGTATTTTTTTCAGTGTCCTGACTGGATGTTTTTTTCACAGTAAAATTAACATTTTGTGAAATGTAATAGTTATAGTTGTTACTGATCAATGCAGGTATCTAACTGTGTGAACCATGCGGAAAGGAGGCAAAACAATTATTAGGCAGACTGTGGCTGCGTCGAGCACAGATGTGGGCTCCACCGAACATAGTGGAAGTGCTGACTTTACAACCTGCAAATTACATAATCACTTGATGTGTTTGGCAACAAGATGCAAGTAAATAAAACTGAACTGCAGTGGCTCGGGAAATGCAGTCTTAGAGCCATTTTTCTCTCGGCTTACCTCACTTTATCTACGGCCCGTAAAGTGCTGCAAAGAGTATTTTAATCTACGGAATAGCTCACTCCAATGCTGCACAAAAAGCTGAAAAATGTCTTTTGGTTGGGGAGCTTGGAATAAATGATG